TATCAGATACAAACCCTATTACCTCTTATTATTGGTGATTACCAACACTACCACTAATATTATTGTTAATTATTATTCCATTAAATAACTGGGCAGTGTAAATGTGCAGTACACAGACGTTAACCAATCATAAAAAGGAGTTCAGTTCCATATGTAACTCTTTAAAGCTACAGTAGCAGTGGCATGTTTAATTCATGCTAAAACTACATTTTGTTTATTGCAAATAATCTCAACAAGCTAACAGACTTTAAGGGGAAAATGTAGTGCTATGAAAGTAGAATACGCCTCATTCAAAGGATTAAACTGCTAAATAGTTATGTTGTCTACACTTCCTGTCTGGGTGAGAACTTTTGAACTTTCTGCGCTGGAATCCTCACGGAGACGAAGTTGCTGCTACAGGAGGTGGATGGTATTCTATACAGCGTGTCTATACATGCAGACCTAAACCTCTCCAACACACACTTCCTCTTGACAGCAGTGACGGCTTCAAACACTCCTCTCCTCCTCGGGCCACGGAAATACTTCTAATGGGGCTTCTAAAACTGTAAATTAAGAAGAGGAATAGTTGTGCTAAACGCTCATGCATACGTGCACTCACATGCAGAAATGGGGGATTGAGGAGCATTTCTGTAATACAGCATTCAGTGTCTGATATAGTCAAGAGTCACTACTCGAATGCATATATAAGTATTAAATTTCAGCACATAACTCGTCTCACATATTTGAGTTACGGACATGAATTCTACCTCAGGTGCGATATCGTTTTCTTCGACTATAATAAGGGGGGGGGGTCCTTTAGACTTACACTGGAGGAGGGACGTAGAGACCTGCGGGTGGATTTGGAGATAAATATTTTACCATTCACATAAAAAGTTTTTGTATTACAAAAATAACAATTTGGAATTGGTGGGCCGTTTGTTAATGAAAATGGTCAAAAAAAATGGCCCTTTATTCACATAAAATTATTAATATGGTTAGCTAAAAATATTAAAACTGAACTCAAAAGCTGGAGTGTTAGATGAAAAACTAATATTGACAAATAGCTGTTGAAGTTGAAGCACAAAAAGCATTAATTGGAATAAAAAACTAAACTAACATTAAACAAAAAATGTATATTAAAAATATATTAATATAAAAAAAAACGAATTAAAATGACAAAAGCACAAAACAAAATTAATCTAACCTTAAAATTAAAAAAAAAAAATCTTAAATTATGAATTCAAATATTCATTAAAAACAGGCTTCCCACACATTGGTTAACTTCAAATTCAAGGGCTTTTCTAGGTCCAATACCCTCACATTCAATTCAAGGATTCAAGGTTACATCATGTTACCTTGTAAGATTGTTTTCATGTGTAAAACAACTACGCAAAAAAGCTTTTATTTATGCATTTATATTGGACCATATGACAGTGATCTGATATTCTATTTGTCGTATTTCTGTTTTGCATAAACCTTAAGAATATTCGGTATATCCTATACCTGCACGTGAATGTAATGGCAACGTACAAAATAAAGTACCTCAATCGGGAAATACTTAAGATAAGGTGTAAATGCACGTAACTAACGTAAATCAAGAAAGCAAAGGTCGCAAAGTATTGGCAAAATAACACATTAGCGGACCGGAGGGAATAATATGGAATTTTTGCACAAAAATAATTTCAAGCACTTTCAAGGACCTGTATCTATTTATGTTTATTTTCAAAATCTTCCCAATGCCTTTAATTGAATTTTTTTCAGATTCACAAACTTTCAAGAACTTCAAGGACCCATTGGGAACCCTCGATAATATAGCTATAAAAAAAAAAGTTATTATCAACATGGTTCAGAGAGTTGGTGTTTCCCGAGTTCCGATGAATATTTGCAAAGAGCATCGCAATGTTGTGTGGTTGGAACGACAGCTTTTGACCTGTGGTTAGAAGCATAGTTTCTTCTTTTTATGGCATGTAATCCTTTATCTGGAGCGAAATTAGCAAGCTGGCATTTAGTACAATTTATATTTTCCATTTCTAATATATAAACATTTAATTTGCAATGCATCTTATTGGCCTGGTTCCACAGACAGGGCTTAGATTAAACCAGGACTAGGCCTTAGTTCAGTTAGGACATTTAGCTTTTATAAACTCAAACAGATCAACATAAAGAAGTGAAATAAATTGTTACTCCAGTAATTTGCGACAGTACGGTTATGGGAAACAGTCATGACAGTTGATTTCGTTGATAATGCATCGTACAATGGTTTAAACGTACAGTATGCGATTTTTGGCCACCAGGGGTCACTTATTTAAAATAATAACAAAAGACATACTTTGATGACGTCGGGAAAGAGCGTGGGCTCACGGGAGTTGTTGTCGCTGTCAATGACAACCAGCTCAGCTCATGGCATGACATCATCGTTTCACAAAATATACGGATATACGGCATCTCTCTGTAGATTTAAAGCTTCTCGACAAGCTAAATGCAACCCCAATGTTTACCTGTGTCATGTTTCTCCTGTCCCAAACCCTTCTCGGGTCATATTTTTCACCCGTACGTTTGAGCTTTACTGAGCTGGCTGTAGCAGCAGAACCTGCAGGCAAAGTGTAATCGTGGTCCATAACTATAATACAGACGAATATAAATATTAATATTACGCTCCTTCAATGAATGATCTATTTTAGAACATTTTTCATATATAGAGCGCACCGGATTATAAAGCACATAAGATACTGCAGTCAACGTTTGACTGGGTTTGCGTTATGCATCCACTATGTGCAAAAGGCTAAAGAGAATGTAGTGAGTGCGCGGCGCCGGAGGTGAGGCGTTTTTTTAGTAAGCATGAGCGCGCTGAAGCGGGCACGTACATTCGCAGCCTGACTCATATGAGTATTCAATGCCCGCGGCTCGCTAACAGCAACAGTTGGCTGTTTTGAATGAGACGAACCGGTTACTGTGAACGGGGAGCGCTTTATGCGCGAGCAGCACCGGGGACAGTGTGTCTGTTAAGAGTGAGTGCTCGTGAGCGGGCACGTGATTTACACACATAAAAATACGTAATACTTTTTTTTCTTCGTCATTTTCTTTGCTTTATTGGCGGTAGTCCAGTGTTCCCCTTTGTGTTTGCCGGGTTCTGCAAGGAAGTTAGAGAAAATAGAGGAGTCAAAGGTTATATGACGCCATAGACGGGCGACGAAACGGAAATAAAGAAACGTCCCGTGTCTTCGAATTAAACTATAAATTTCTCCGTATTTGAAAGTTGGTGGAAACTGTCGGAATAATGCAAGTACACATCTAATGCTACGTTCACACTGGACGCGAATCGCGCGTCAAATTCGCGCCTGACGCATCTAGTTTGACGCTTGACCACTAGTGTTAATTCGCGTGTCAAGAGCGAAACTGCCGCGCGTAAAAGTTTGAAGCGAAATTTACGCGCGTGACGCGCGTCAGAATCAAAATCCGTTGGCGGCCATTGTTTTTATGTCGACCGAGCATTCATCAAGAGAGTTACCGCTCTGTATTTACTCTGGAGAGCAGAACAGCGGCGTGGGGATCATCGTCGCCGTATATTTGTGTCCACCGGACCCTTCGGAGCCGAACCGTTTGGCGAGTTTCACCATTTGCTCGCTCCAGGAGCTGCGCTGGATGACGGCCGCTGTCAGCGGTACTTCCGCCTGTCACGCGCCCAGTTTGATGACCTGTTGTCCCGCATCTGAGCGAGGATCACCCTCGCCCTCATCCATCTAATCTAGCTGTCATTTATTTTTGTTTTGATGATAAATAGAGCCAGCCTTCAAAAGTTATTAACCTGTCCTGTGATTTTTTTTCTCTCTCTCACGTCCAGACACGAATTTATGCACATATGTTGATTGTCTTTACAACATAATACTATTTCTAGATATGGAATGAATAACATTCAATACAAAATGAACATGTCTCCTATATAGAAATAATGTTTTAAGTGATGAAACATTTGCTTTGTTGTGCATAATCCCACCATGCATTTAGTCATATTAACAAAATAATTTACTGAAGCATCCAGACACTTCACCACGTGAGCAAGCAGCTAGGCTCCTGATTGGTTAACGCGGCGCGAATTCACGCCAAAGTTCAGATTTTTCAACTCGGGCGGCAGACGCGAATTCGCGTCAAACGCGTGAATGCACAACGCTCAATTCGCGCCATTCGCGCCAACCTGACGCGCGAATGAGGCGTATTCGCGTCTTCCGCTCCACGCCTCATTCGCGCCGCAGGAATTTTTCACGCGCGTAAAGCGTCTTTGCATTGACTTAACATTGAAATCATTCGCGCCTGACGCCCTATTCGCGTCCGGTGTGAACGTAGCATAATAGAAATATATAACATAGATACAGTTATTTTTGTTATTTTTAAAGCAGAAAAAATACATATTGTGGCTTTAAGAAGCTACTTTTGTCGTTATTCAGTGCTCTGGAGCTCCAAGCAGAAACAGCAACACCACAGAGGACTAGAGCCCAAGCCAAGCTTTCAGTCTGTACGGTCCAAAAAAGCTGTAGAGCCATCTGGCACAGGCTCACACACACTGGTAGAGTGAGTGGCAGCCACAAAAACACATGGGGGTCTCCACCCACTCACCAAACACACCCATATATACATGCAACAAACCAAATATCAACATTCACCAAACACCTCAGAATACACACTGATCTTGAGCCAACATTTCCACTCACGCACATAATCTCTCAAAGAGGGCCAATTACAAAAATCACTTTTCACCAAACAAACTTACTTGCACACACAAGCCAAGCACCATATATACTCATACACCTATGAAATCCTTAGACACACAAAAAGCAAACTCCAAAAACCCACATTCACCAAACAAACTTGCCAAACACTCTTACTAGCGCACAGATCAAAAGCCAAATACCCACATTCGCACACACCACAGAGAGGACTGTACAAATAAAGCCTTTCCAGGGATTTAATGACCTGAAATGCTCAAAGTATTGAGCGTGTGGATGTGTAATGAACTTCACTCTTACTTGTTCTCATTACTGGCATCATATCGGGGCATGGGATCCATGTCATTACCGTTTACGTCATAACTGGCCTCATTATCCTACAAACAGATCAAAAGGGGGAAAAAAAGACATATGAGAACATATTCAAATGTAGATTTGTCCATCCATTATGTTCATGCACCAGTTAGGACACACAAAACATGCTAAAACTCAACAACAAAATACATAATTTTTGGACTTTTACATGTGAAAGACCTTTATAGAAACAGATTCAGGTTGTTTGCTTTTGTTTTCCTCAATGGGAAAAAAAATCCAAGAGTTCAGATGAGCCGAGAGAAAAATTAAGTAAAAATAAAAGGAGTTTCAATAAATATGGAGAAGTATCAATAAAAAAAAAAAATAAAAAAAATCTCTCTATGAAATTAAATTAAATCAAAACAGTAACCGAGGCGTTCACACAGAACATATTTTCAAAATTGACTTAAAAATGCTATTCACAATCCCTACAAGCAAAACGATTTTAATTTCGAAGATTATATTCGAACTGGCAGAATTAAACACAAATGTATTTACAACAATTTTGAATTTTTACTTCCAACTGTTACTACTAGGAAAAAATAGCAACCACAATTCAGTATGCAGAGTATGCAATATGCAAGAATTCGATTCAAAACAGCCGAACATACACAGAGATACACTTACATAGTTCTGTGTGAGATCTGGGTGGTTCCTCTCGATGCCGTCATCCAGAATGGTAACCACCACATCCTTGCCCGTGTAGCCTCTCTTCCATGCGCCCACGATATTCATGTCAGACTGACAGTTATTGATGTTATCATTACAGTGCTGCATAGACACACATAAATGAGGACATGAAACTTAATTAGGTGATGATTTGCATAGTGTATGCTTACACTCATTTTTTGAACTTTGGGGTCAGTACGATTTTTTTTAAAAGGTCATGAAACCCCAAACCAAATTTTCAGAGATTTTAACAGAGGTATGCGTGTTGAACACGATTGAAGACAATGTTAGCATCTGTTACATTTAATAGTAAGGTTAAAATGCTTAAAAAAAAATAATTTCCGCTTTTGTCGTCTTCAAGGTTTAAAATCTTCATCGTGTCGTGACGTGGCCGTGCACTGTGAGTGTGTTGATGACTCATCTGTGTCTCAAAATTATTAACAATACTGAGTTTTCTTATCCTATGAGAAGACACGGTCTCTTAATTGATCATGACACCACGTGGATCTTTCCAACGACAGACATGTCAAACAAACTGTGAGATTGCATATTAGATGAGAGAGGCAATCATGGGACGCAAGTGTTTGTTTTCATGGTGCAAAGTCCAAGCATTGAATATGTTTCTCCGCAAGAGGGCTCGACTCTGGCTCTGGACGGTTGGTTTGCCATCAACCAGGGACACATCTAAACACTATCTAAACTATAGTGTGTGCCGCAAACATTTTCTCGAGAGAGAGAGAGAGAGCTGCGACAAGTGGAGAATGGTGGACTTCGTCTTGTTGACAACTAATCCAAGTTGCGTCTTGCGAGTGATGCGGTATCCCCAGGACTTTTCTATCCCTTCAGAGGTGTGTGTGTGAGACTGTGTGTGTGTTTAAAATGAGAAGTCATCCACCTCGCAGAGCCATCTTTATTATGGGGTTCAGGGGGCGCATAGATCTATAGGCTATGCGCGGAAAGATTTTTTTAAATGCATAGTGTCTATATAAACCACCATATATTTTATAATGACATTATAATTTTACATGTAGCCTATATTAATATGTTTTAAATAGAAATACGATTACTGTTGGCTAATATATGCAGGGCATTCAGGTACTTTTGAAAGGACAATAGCTAATAAAGTGTCAGTGTATTTCATAAGACTTTAACTTTGCCAGCTATATCAAAAAAATCTAGCATTTCCTCACATTTTACTACTGCTTTTAGTGACAGTCGATATGCATGGGACATTGACAGTAATGGCCATACTGCACCCACTCCCTCCCTTCTTCTCACAGCTAGCCACGCCCATTTAAGTAGCATTTTAAGAGATTGTGAGCTAGACTTGAGCTGAAAGAGGGGGGTTTCATGACCTTTTAAAGACCTTTTGCCATCATGGAAATAAATTACATTTTAAAATAGTCATTCTATTCTTATAGTCACACATTTTATTCATACTCAATTAGATAAGTATTTTTGATCAAATAAATGCAGCCTTGGTATGCATAAGATCTATAATAAAGATTAAAAACCTCAAACTTTTTGGACTTGAGTATGGAAAGTGTTTTTGGAGGATTCCCTTCATTTAGTGCTTGCATTTGCAAATGTAAATCAAGTATAAGGCTATTCAATATTATTACAGAGTTTTTAAAAAGCACAGGGTGGATTCAAACCCACGTCTCCCACGATTTCTACAGCTCAATGTGTCTGAAAAGCATGCATGCTAAATACAATGTCAGAGTAAAAATAAAAACCTGGCTATTTTTGGAAAAGATCCCAAGCATGTGGTAAAAAGCAAACATTATATTTAAAACATATCTTTGTAAATTACTGCATCTTTTCCTTGCGTATCTCAGACACTGCAATTACATGTGTCACATGGAACCAAATGTACATTTTCATTGTGCCTAAAGTTGGAATTAGACCCCATCTGGAAAGTCAAGTTTATTTGCTCCCAAAGTACAACTTGCGGGTCAACAAGAGAAACCCGAGCCAAATGGATGCATTCAGGTCAAAGTATTAATGTTATCTGAGCCATATTAACCATTGACAGAGCTGTATAAAAACCCATTAGTGAACAAACGCTTAGTTCACTCTCGCCGTTTCAGTCTAAGCTATAAATACGATCATAGACAGAAAGTGATGACAACAGATGCAATGTGTGCTATGCATCAAGGTTTCAGTAGCAGCCAAAGTGGAACCTTTTGTACATTCTGGTAAATCTGAATGGCTGTTTATAATGCAAAAAGCAAAGATTTCTTCACATTCTTTAAGTGCAAACCACTGACTCTCGTGAGGTGAGGAACATGACAGCTATTAAAGGGTTAGTTCACCCAAAAATTCTGTCATTAATAACTTACGTGAACCACAATGGTTCTTGCAGAAGCTCAAACGTGCTGAATAACACTAGGATGAACTTTATTGGTTTTTGCTGAAGCTCAAACGTGCTGCGTAAGGAGAGAATGAACCTCATTGGTTCTTGCAGAAGCTCAAACGTGCTGCGTAACGTGAGAATGAACCTCATTGGCTCTTGCTGAAGCTCAAACGTGCTGCGTAACACAAGAATGAACCTCATTGGTTCTTGCGGAAGCTCAAAAGCGCTGTGTAACGAGAATGAACTTCATTGGTTCTTGCAGAAGCTCAAACGAGTTGCGTAACACGAGAATGAACCTCATTGGTTCTTGCGGAAGCTCAAACGTGTTGCGTAACATGAGAATGAACCTCATTGGTTCTCGCAAACGTGCTGCGTAACACAAGAATGAAACTCATTGGTTCTTGCGGAAGCTCAAACGTGTTGCGTAACACGAGAATGAACCTCATTGGTTCTCGCAAACGTGCTGCGTAACACAAGAATGAACCTCATTGGTTCTTGCAGAAGCTCAAACGTGTTGCGTAACACAAGAATGAACCTCATTGGGTCTTGCTGAAGCTCAAACGTGCTGCGTAACAGGAGAATGAACCTCATTGGTTCTTGCAGAAGCTCAAACGTGTTGCGTAACACAAGAATGAACCTCATTGGGTCTTGCTGAAGCTCAAACGTGCTGCATAACACAAGAATGAACCTCATTGGGTCTTGCTGAAGCTCAAACGTGCTGCATAACACAAGAATGAACCTCATTGGTTCTTGCGTAAGCTCAAACGTGTTGCGTAACACGAGAATGAACCTCATTGGTTCTCGCAAACGTTCTGCGTAACACAAAACGAGAATGAACCTCATTGGTTCTTGCAGAAGCTCAAACGTGCTGCGTAACACAAGAATGAACCTCATTGGTTCTTGCAGAAGCTCAAACGTGCTGCGTAACACAAGAATGAACCTCATTGGTTCTTGCGGAAGCTCAAACGTGCTGCTTAACACAAGAATGAACCTCATTGGTTCTCGCACGATAAGCAATCATGCTTAAGCTTCCATTTACCACAACTGTAACTGTTTGAGTTGATGAATGTTTCTATGTGAATACAAGCTTAAATTCAATCTGTTTATCATATAAAATGATCGATTCAAAAATTTTGGACTAAACCACTCAATTCATTTGGAATAGTTTTACGATCTCTTTATGAACTTATTTGAAGCCAAAATGATAGTTGCGTAGCTGTCAACAGAGGGACAGAAAGCTCTCAGATTTCATCCAAAAGATCTTCATTTGTGTTCCAAAAAAGAACGAAAGTCTTACGTGTTTGGAACGACATGATTTTTGGGTGAACTATCCCTTTAAAACAAGAGCCTGTTTATACAATTACCTCACAGAAATTGTCTCAGCTAGAAGTTATGTCAGAGCTTACACTGACAAGCTCAATGTATCTCTCTGGGTGGTTTTCACATGTAGAAACTCGGCTAATCTGGTGCGACAGGCATCGTTTCCTTTGAATGTTCAAACTGACAAATTAGTTTTAGTTAAAAACACTAAAGGTTTAATACCTGCCATTACGATTTAGCTAAAAGATGTCTTCAGCAACAGAAGATTGGCTTGGCACTTAACTAAACACAACATTGTCTTTAATGAAAGCATTCACAAAACATTTGAATTCTGTAATAAGCAGTATTGCGGACTTCAACAGAATATTCAGCCGCAAATAACATAGGACGTGACTTGAATTTAGCCCATCAGGATTTTAAGTTAGTCTATGCTTTGACTGGACAATAATATCATGATATAATAGTCTTCATCCCAAAGTTTCATTCTCAAATATTTTTACTTTGCTGCTATTAGAAGGAATCGCATTGTGAAATAAACTTTACAAATAAATTGACAGAATAAAATCCCCTGTCGCTGTGCCTTTTCTTACATCAGCAGAAAAGAAAAGTTGTTTCCTAGGCAAAAAACTAAATTTTTCCTTTTACAAAGAGATGTGCTTGATGAATCATTCACTGTAAGACCTTGGTTAAGCACTTGACTTGAACAGCTCAAAAGTGACACAATTTTTTTTTTTTTTTTGCAGTAGACTTGGAAATGATACAAACCATGACATTGATCAAGATCTCAATGTTTTTCAACCTTACCAATTCACAAAAACCACAAAATACTCACTATGTACCACATACTGCTCCATTTAGCATCATTGAAGTAAATCGAGTTGGACTGGACTATACTGGATTGTACAGGACCAGGATATGAGGGTTTATAATCTCGCTTTATTCTCCTCTTCACGACCTGCTGTTGCACCCATTCCACCTGAGAAAGAATGAGAAGAAATCCTTTAGGAACTGACAAACACCAACATCTTTTCACAACATCCCCTCTCTGTAACAGTCTTCTGATTAAATGAAAGACACTGGAATACAATAATGAGAAACATCCTATTTAGTAACAGTGTTGTTGTTGTTTTTTTGCCATTAAAGAATTTGAATTTGAAGAATTTGAGAATTTGAGGCAAATAGGCTTACTTATGAAAAAATATCACAAAGCAAAAATACTTAAAGGGTTAGTTCACCCAAAAATGTAAATTCTGTCAGTATTTACTCACCCTCATGTTGTTCCAAACCTCAATGTGTTTATTTGTTCAGCTGAACACAAAGGAAGATATTTGGATGAATGTTTTAATCAAACAGATCTCATTCCCCATTGACTACCATAGTATGTCTGTTTCCTACTATGGTAGTCAATGGGGAATGAGATCTGTTTGATTAAAACATTCTTCCAAATATCTTCCTTTGTGTTCAGCAGAACAAATAAACACATAGAGGTTTGGAACAACATGAGGGTGAGTAAATACTGACAGAATTTTCATTTTTGGGTGAACTAGCCCTTTAAAGGACAAGTTCGGTATTTTACAATTAAAGCCCTGTTTTAAGATCGTCCCTGATGAAATAGAATAGTTAAGATTGTTTTTTTATACAAATGCTCCTGTCACAAGAATTTTTGGATTCTGTGTTAGCACCCCCCCCACCTTTATAATGAAAGCATAGGTGCACTCGAACAATCATTCATTAAAACGCATAAAACCTTAGTTTACAAAGACCTGAAACTCACCGAGTGGTCTGGGGTGTTCACTGATATGCTCACACAAAAATTGCTGCAAAATATGCTTTCCAACAGGTTTTATCGTAGTTTTTGTCCAAGGCCATTTTCTTCCTGTTTTTGGTCGTAGTCCACAGTAGTCGATTGTCGGGTTTGCATGCGCGATCCTTAGTTATCTAGTTACCAATGATCGCGCACGTGAACTCGACAATTTACTACTGTGGACTTCGACCGAAAACAGGTAGAAAATGTCGGACAAAAACTACGATAAAACCTGTTGGAAAGCATCTTTTGCAGCAATTTTTGTGTGAGCATATCAGTGAACACCCCAGAACACTCGGTGAGTTTCACATCTTTGTAAACTAAAGTTTTATGCGTTTTTATGAATGATTGTTCGAGTGCACCTATGCTTTCATTATAAAGGTGGGGAGGTGCTAACACAGAATCCAAAAATTCTTGTGACAGGAGCATTTGTCTAAAAAACAATCTAAACTATTCTATTTCATCAGGGACGATCTTAAAACAGGGCTTTAATTGTAAAATACCGAACTTGTCCTTTAATAATGTAAAGTACCAACATTCTTCAAACATAAAAAGCATATCTTAAATGTTCCTTTCGATATTGAGGTGAAATATGACGACCTTTTGTTTTTCAAAAAAGAAATATTTTATCAACTTTTATATTTTTCCTATCACCTCTGCTGAATAAAAAAAATAAACTTATTGCAAACAGGTATGAGACACAAATGTGATCCTGGATCACAAAACCAGTCACAAGAAGCAGTAGCCAACAATACATTGTACTGGTCAAAATTATTGATTTTTCTTTTCTGCCATCAATGAAGATATTTTGCAAATTTCCTACTATAAATATATAAAACATGTATTTTTGTGAGTGAATGTTGCACAATCGCGAACATAAATGGACAAATTTGCCAGCAATTTTCTCAATATTTTGATTTTTTTTCACCCTCAACCCATGTGACTGGTTGAGTGGTCCAGGGTCACAAATGGTTTTTGAAATCAGCGATGTTAAACCTTAAGAGATATGTCTTGACACCATATTTCAATTAATACACAAATATGTGATTTTTGGAGAGTGGTCCATTCTTGAACCCCTGGTCACAATTCACTTTCATTGTATGGAAAAGAGCAGCATGAACAAACTGCTAGGTATCTCCTTTTGTGTTCCACAAAAGAAAGAAAATAAAAACATGTTTTGACCAACACTGTGTTCAAATCAGATTACAGAATTTACATTTTTGGATAAAACAATACAAAACAACAGCATGAGCATGGTGAGGTTTGTAATGTGTTAAACCAACTCTCCTTTTAAAGATTATTGACGAATACACTAAGCATTGTTTATGATTGCGGAAACATTTAGTCACTTTGCATTGTTTAGCAACAGTTGTTCGTAATACACTGATTTCTAATCATAGATGAGCAAGATCAGGAGTCCATATAGACCATAGAACACACAGGTGTGGGGTTGTCATAGTGACAGTCTGACCTTTGGCTCCATGGAGATGAAGCTGTGTGAGCCTCTGCTGAAAAGCGTCGACCTTTTTATCGTCCGGCTGTGGAAAAAATGGTAGTAGTCCTTCAGATCACCAATCTACAGGGACAATACAAAACTGCCATTTAGTGCATAGCAAATAAAGAAGCATGACATAATAGCTATACAATATATCACCACATCACAAAATATCAGGTTGCGAAGCAAGAACCCAAACACACTACTTAGTAACTAAAAAGAGCAAATCGGGGCAGGTACATCTAATATGTAACAATATCGGTATGAATAAAAGGCAAGGGCTCCAGCAATATTCACCACAGACATGTTGAAACTGGCTTAAGTGATTAATTATTTATAATGTCATTGACTGGAAGATTGGTTACTCAAGAGGCTGTATCACTTTCCACTGAACAGATTCATTTGACAAGTGCAAAAACACCAGGCAACCATGACACATTCTCCACAGACTACTGTACTCTATAGGGATACTGAAGTCTGCCATAAAAAAAACAATGAGTTTTGATGCCAATGATAAGCCTTGCCAGTTTACATTCAGTCAAGCAATTTCTTCAAAATTAACTTGATGTAGGGCAAACTTCTGAGTTCATAAATAGCATACTTTCTTGAATTTCACAAACAAACACATAGGCTACAACTGGCTCCTAAGGCAATCTCACATTCCAGGATCCTATAGCAGATTCCCACAGGAGTGCATGATGAGTCTGATGAGTTGCAAAGTTCAGGAGTGTTTTGAGCTTTCATAAGTAGTCCCTTTGGATGTGACAACCAGTTGAGGAAGGAACTCTTAGCTGGCACAATAAGCACTGATGAACGATAAGATAGCACATTGTGAAATCAAGAGATTGAACGCAGTTGCTGTGAAATCTCTAGATACATGGCAGATCTGAAATCTGGCATACGGGCTTGTTGCAGTAAAGAGCAAAGTTTAAGACGCCACCATAAGCTTGCATTAACCTATTATTTATTTAAATGAACCAGACATTTATTTTTTACCATCAAATTACTAACTGGATAACTAAACATATTATTAAACTAAATTGTTATGAAGACTTTTTTCTTGCTTCTCGGAAAGAAGATTGAGATTGAGGCCAGGGCATTTTATGCCACATAAATTATAATGCAGTACTTGACTTCAACTAAACTTGGCTTGACATATTAAAAACCAAACCTGCCTGTAAACAGCTGCATTATGTATAAATTTAGCTACCACGTATTTCACTTTAGTAGGATATTCAAACGTAAAAGGTATAACACTTTTAGCCTTTGTAACATTTTCAGCATGTTCCAGTGAATGTTAAATGTCAGGAATCCTGCTGAAGCTCATGGCTTGAGTTCTTATTGATTTAAAATACAGAAGTACATCTAAAAATGATTTCGAAAATAGTAGATAGTAGATCCAAGCAGTAAAGTTTCAAAAACACCTGTTGTTATTGGGAGTCAGTCAGTAGAGACCTGTTTGTTCACTGGATTTTACTCTGAGAACTGGGTAATATTGGGCTAAAAATGAGTCTCCATGCACATCCATGAAGATTGAAACCTATAAAGCATAAATTCAACTTTCTCAACTATCACAACACAACATGTAAAACTCTGTGAAACTTGTGTAAAGGCTTCCAGCCTTGACGTTTGAACTTCAATCAAAGCTATAAGACACTTGAACTGATGGGAAACAGCGTTGGACAGCAAATACGATGAAATAACACACGTGAGGTGCTTCAAAACATCTTTGTGCAGGACACACGTACCTGGCCCAGGTTTCTATACCCATATTTATTGGCGATATGCTCTGCTTGCTCAGGTCCGCCGGCTATCCGAACAGCCCAGTGGTTGGTGTAAATCCGAGCTTTGCACGGAGAAGACGAGAAAAAAACCAAGCACAGCGAAACCAGGACGCACGGGAGGCTGTTCAAAACCATCTTTCGCCCTCTCTCTCTCGCCTCGACTCTCCCCAGCACCCCCGGTTCAGGAAAACAACCAAACTTCGTCTCGCTGTTCAGTGGGGATTCTCATAGAAGTGTCGCTTAAGCTCCACATATACTCAACAGAGGGTGAGCGCAGGATTTAAACTGGATACGAGCCTCCGAACGCTTCAGCCTGCAGCGCATCGGCCGCACACACTCCGACGCCACGGAGAGAGGGAGACACAAGAGTCTGTTTGCACAGCTTTGGCTTGATTTGTTCTCTCTAGACAGTGCCGTTACTTCTGCCTTTTTTTTGTAAAGTGGAGATATGGTTCTAGCGCCTCCCTCAAATAACTACAGAGAGAGTCGGGAGAGTACGGACAACGAGCCGTGTGGGGTTACCGGGGCTCCGCAGGGTCTTAAAGACACACCGCGTTCCATCAACCCAGATCCGGCTGCGTTGAACTTGTGAATGTGACATTATTCCCAGATACCTCTGTGAAGATGACGACAAATTACACTGTTTTGTTATTCTGTATATTTATGGCCAGAAACGTAGTTTTATGACAAGTAGTACATTTTTTAGTTTTTTTCCAGTCTTCAAACTTGATCGGCCATCATGGACTGGGGTGCTTAAATTTAATATAACAGCACTCGGTTGTTTCACTGTTGATTCACGTCCTAATTCAGAGGCTGCATCCTTCGATGGGCACATTTGAAGGCCAATTGCGTCATCACAGAGGCACGGCAAACTTTGATAGTAGTACAGTACTTAAGGCCACGTTTACACAAAGCCAGAAACGGATATTTTCCCCTTCTCCGTTTTCAATAATAACATCGTGCACACACCTGCGCATAAATATGTCATCGAGCACCATCATATCTATGCCAAACCTATGGGTGGCAGTGTAGGGAGAAGGATAAAGCCATGCAAGCCAATCAGAATCCTCAGAATCGACAAGAGAGAACCTAAAACGCTGTTTCTCCCAATTGACACGACAACACATAACCGGCGTTTTCAGAAATCTGCACTTTGGTCGGAGTTTTTAGAAATAATCGTTTTCTGTGATAAAAACGGTGATTTCATCTAAATGAGAGGCCAAACCACAGGAAATATCTGCGATGGGCCTAAATCTCAGAGATGTCTAATGGATGTCCATGTTCACATCTGCAAGATGTAGCCCATCTGCAATACGTCTCTAGGACGTTTCCTGTCAGGCGTTAAACGTACAGTATGAGATTTTTGGCCACCAGGGGTCACTCGTTTAAAATAATAACAAAAGACGTACTTTGATGACGTCAGGAAAGAGCGTGGGCTCACGGGAGTTGTTGTCGCTGTCAATGACAACCAGCTCAGCTCATGACATGACATCATCGTTTCACAAAATATACGGATATACGGCATCTCTCTGTAGATTTAGCTTATCAAGAAGCTTTAAATGCAACCCCAATGTTTACCTTTGTCACGCTTCTCCTGTCCCAAACCCTTCTCGGGTCATATTTTTCAGGTACGTTTGAGCTTTAGCTAATGAGCTGGCTGTAGCAGCAAAACGTGCAGGCAAAGCGTAATCGTGGTCCATAAATATTATACAGACGAATATAAATATTAATATTACGCTACTTCAATGAATGACCTATTTTAGAACATTTTTCATATATAGAGCGCACCAGATTTTAAAGCACATAAGATACTGCAGTCAAACGTTTGACTGGATTTGCGTTATTCATTCACTATGTGCTAAGGCTAATAGTGAGTGCGCGGCGCCGGAGGTGAGGCGTTTATTTAGTAAGTATGAGCGCGCTGAAGCGGGCACATACATTCGCAGCCTGACTCATAAGAGTATTCAATGTGCGCGGCTCGCTAACAGCAACAGTTGGCTGTTTTGAATGAGACGACACGGTTACTGTGAACGGGGAGCGCTTTATGCGCGAGCAGCACCGGGGACAGTGTCTCTGTTAAGAGTGAGCGCTCGTGAGCGGGCACGTGATTTACACACATAAAAATACGTACTACTTTTTTTTCTTCGTCATTTTCTTTGCTTTATTGGCGGTAGTCCAGTGTTCCCCTTTGTGTTTGGCGGTTTCGCCGGGTTCCGCAAGGAAGTTAGAGAAAATAGAGGAGTCAAAGGTTATATGACGCAATAGACGGGCGACGAAGCGGAAATAAAGAAACGTCCCGTGTCTTCGAATTAAACTATAAATTTCTCCGTATTTGAAATTTGGTGGAAACTGTCGGGACAATGTAAGTACATATCTAACAGAAATATATAACATAGATACAGTTATTTTTGCTATTTTTAATGCAGAAAAAATACATATTGTGGCTTTAACAGGAAACAAAGGACGCATTTTGAGGCCGGATTTGCAAGACGTCTGTATGAGCACGTCATCTGGAAAGCATCTGCTGTGTACAAACATCTGAGAGACATCTTTAAGATGTCAGTTTTAAATTTAAGACATTTAAGTCTTTAAGCGATTTAAAGCTGTTTAAATGTTGACTCATATACTTGCCCCGATACTTATATACTCTGAGTTAAACCCGGAGTAGGAAAACACGGATCAATTACAGAATTATTTGATGCTTTTGTTTTCACTTCATTTTTAAGGCCCATTTGCACCAATGACAATAATGTCTGTAATATAATAGTCTATAATGTCAATAATGACTAGTTTTGATAATCCCTCTAATTCTATGACAATAGGAAAGTCCACACCACAATTATAACAATAATCAGGAACAATAACGTTGGAATCACTTTAAAGAACTCAAGCTTTTAAAATGGCAAAAGACGAATCTGCAGTATGCTTAAAATAAACAGAATATTATCGTCTGTTGGAGTGGATGTCAATATAGTAATAGTTGTAGTTATATTTCTTAGTAAAGATGATAGCCTAACTATACTGTATATGTTTAATAATCATCATTCTGAGACTGTGAGAATAGGGAAGTCCCCACCACAGATAATGATAACAACAGAGAAACGATATTGGAAACACATTCAAGCCGATTTTTTTCCAACTAATAATGAAAAATAAAAACATTGACAGCCAATCAGAATCTATCCTGCTTTAAAGAGCTTGAGCATTTAAAATGACAAAAGACAACCTCAGTTTTTACACACTTTAAATCAACAGAATCATATGGAGGCTTGTTTCCTCCATAGAATAAAACATTTGAAAAGATAATTGCGACTTTTTTCTTGCAATTGTGACATTATATAACACAATTTTTACTTTAACATGCAATTACGAGTTTATATCTTGCAATTCTGACTTATTTTCTCAGAATTGTCAGATAAAAACTCACAATGGCAAGTTATAAATTACAATTCTAAGGGAAAAAATTAATTTTTCTCAGAATTGTGAGTTTACATCTCAGTCTTTATTTGCGAGTTATAAAGTCCGAATTGTGCGCTATAGGCCTAAATAAGCTATTCTGAGGAAAAAAAATCTGAATTTTTTTCCCGAGTTTATGCCTTGCAATTCTGACTTTATAACTCGCTATTGCGACTTTATATGTAAACTCGCAATTGTGAGAAATAAACTTCTCACTTTTTTCTTGAGGCAGAAACAAGTATTCCGTCATTATTATCACTTTTGATACTAAAGATGATAACCAATGTATAACGTTTTAATAATTGTTCTAATTTTATAAGAATGAAGTCTACAACAAAGCAATAACAAAAATTTGTTGGAATTACTTTCAGGCCTTTTTTTTTCAGCAGATGAACAATAAATTCAATGACAACCAATCAGAATCCACCGACATTAGCTTGTGCAAATGGCTGCAGAAGTGTGATTATAATAGGCTAAAGCCCAATTTTTACTTCTGCGTCAAACTTAGGCCGTAGCTACGCCCCATTTTTTACTTCTGCGTCAAACTTATGCCGTAGCTATGCCCCAATTTTTACTTCTGCGTCAAACTTAGGCCGTAGCTATGCCCCAATTTTTACTTCTGCGTCAAACTTACGCCGTAGCTACGCCCCAATTTTTACTTCTGCGTCAAACTTACGCCGTAGCTACGCCTCAATTTATACTTCTGTGTCGAACTTATGCCATAGCTACGTCGTAGGCTGTGTGTAGCGCGTGTACCCTTCGGCGTACCCTGACATGCACCTCTCCAAAAAATGTAACAACACGTCAATTCTACGTGTCCCGCAAACGCTTTGATTGATCTGTTAGAACCGCTCCCCGGGTTTCACATGCTCCCTCTGCATGTAATTGCGCGTCAACACGGACAACGATTCAGAAGTATAAATGAAAACCAACGCATAGTCTAAAGCGTAGAGGCTCCGCCGTAGGTCAGACGCAGAAGTATAAATCAGCCTTAAGGCCAATTTATACTTCTGCGTCGAGGGTACGCCGTAGTGTACTTCTGCAGGTCTTGGTTGCTCTGCAGTACTGCTCCAAAACGCTAGTTGGCGGCGGAGGGTTTTAATGTTCCACTGTTTAGATTCCTCGTGGCTAGGTTACTACAAGCAATGGCGACTGAAAGAGAGCGGATCATGTTGGAGATGGAGCTTATTGAGGAGGAAAAAAAGGTTAATTTTAGTGAAATTACTAAAACTAAAAGGCAGAAACGAGAGAAGACGTCGGAGGAGATGGTACGTACGGGACTGCGTGAGATGGTACGTGCGGAAATGCGTAGGAGGAAATGCGATACTACCAAGCCGACCAATCACAGATCTTGCGGTCCGCGTCGTCGCGACGTGTAGTTAAGGCCAATTTATACTTCTGCGTCGAGGGTACGCCGTAGTGTACGGCGTTGGCTACGCACGTAGGCGACGCCGTTGTGAGCATTTATACTTCTGCGTTCAGGTATTGGTTGCTCTGCAGTACTGCTCCGAAACGCTAGGAGGCGGCGGAGGGTTTTAATGTTCCACTGTGTTTAGATTCCTCGCGGCTAGGTTACTACAAGCAATAGCGACTGAAAGAGAGTGGATCATGTTGGAGTTGGAGCTTATTGGGGTGGAAAAACAGTTCATTTTAGTGAAATTACTAAAACTGAAAGGCAGAAATGAGAGAAGACGTCGGAGGAGATGGTACGTGTGGAAATGCGTGAGAAGGTACGTGCGGAAATGCGTATGAGGAAATACGATGCTACCAAGCCGACCAATCACCGATCTTGCGGTCCGCGTCGTCGCGACGTGTAGTTACATTTTTGAAGAGGTGCGCGTCAGGCAACGCGGAAGGGTACGCGGTATGGGACGCGTCTGTGCGTATGCTACGCCGTACCTACCGCGCGCACCCTACGCAGAAGTATAAATTGGCCTTTACATTTTTGAGGAGGTGCGCGTCAGGCTACGGCGAAGGGTACGCGGTATGGTACGTGTGCGTATGCT